GTTCGTGCCTCGTGTAGCCGCGCTGCACGGGGTTCGAACGAGCGGGGATTTAAAAATGGCGGAGCCCCGCTTATGCAAATGAAGCCCGGGAAATTCAAATCCCGGGCTTCATTTGCAAGTGCGGTATGCCTACATTACCCTCCTAGTTCGAACTAGCGGGGTAGTGTAGACATACCCTTACAGAAAAAAACAATAAATGGTCTGGTAGCACTTTATAGACTAATGAAACATGTAGATGGTATCACGAGCTTTCGTGGGCACAGCCCACTTCTTCAGATGACTGGAGTTATGAGTTGGGGATATGAAAACTCAAAATAAATAGGAGAGGGGAAGGGGGAGGCATGAGAGAAAGAAAAAGGGAGGAGGGTGGGAGACAGAGCATCATTAAGTATCTGGAGAATGGGTACTTAAACCTAAGCAGATAAAAATCAAAGTCAATAGATAGATTCCTACAACAGGAAGGATACCACTCAGGGAGCTGTTAGCACCTTCTGTGGTTATTAAGTAGGTAGAGTCCCCACCAGCCCGTATCACGATTGAGTCCATTATCATGTGAATTGAATTTGTGGATGAACTGGGATTCCAGGGCTTCTCTGTGTATTTGGATTGTAGAGCTGGTTTGTGACAAGACAGCTACTTGTAGGTCTGTCAGACTGTGGTTAGGCAAGCTGAAATGCTCACTAACAGTCTTCTGTATATCCCCTTGATGTATATCCTATTTGTGTCCATTGATTCTTTCCTGCAGAGACTGTCCAGTTTGTCCAATATATATAGCAGTGGGGCACTGCTGGCATTTGATGGCATAGATGGATGTACTATTAAATGACCCTTTGATTTTGTGGCTTATGTTTTTTGCTCCGGTGATGAATTCGCCAGTGCAGATATGTGGGCAGTGTTGCAGGGCATGTGGGCAGTGTTGCAGTGCAGGTTGTAGGGCTGGGTTCCTGGAGGTTTATGATGTGGTTGTATGGCATGGTTATCAGAAAGAATACATTTCAGGTTAGGGAGTTGTCTGAAGCAAGAATAGATTTTTTTCCTAAGGCCTCTGAGAGTGAGGGATCATTTTCCAAGATGGGTTGTAGATTGTGTATAATGCACTGGAGGGGTCTGAGTTGTGGAGTGTAGGTAACAACAAGAGGAGTTATGTTATTTTCTCTTTTGGGTCTATCTTGAAGTAGTTCATGTCTGGGTATTTTTTTGGCACTGTCAATTTGTTTTTTGGCTCTGTCAAAATTTGTTTTTTGGCTCTGTCAATTTGTCAGCGGCCTCTGACCCAAAAAAGCTTCCCCACTGTTAATTTAAGAACTGTCTGTGAAACTATCCTGACACTCACTTGGTATGGCTTTATTACACTTTGCCCAATGTTGTGAATGAATGCAGTCTGTGAAGATGTGCCTGTGAAATTGGGCACAACTTGAAAAGAGAACTGCTCATTCACTCCATCTGCAAAACAGGGGTTGAGACCCTTGCTCCAACGCCTTCCTCTAGGAAAATTTTTCACATAAGTGATAAAATTAAAACATCCCTTTTACAGGATGTATTGCTTCATTTGTACCCACCTTTTTTTAAAAAAATTAAAACCTACAGATAAAAATGTGCCAAATGTTATTAGACACATTTCACAGATGGAATGGTGGAGAGACAGAAGATTCTGAGGGTATGTCTACACAAGAGGGAAAACCCGTGGCTAGGGGGCTGAAGCTGTGGGGGCTGTTTCATTATTGTGTAGACTTTTGGGCTTGGGCTCTTGAACCCTTCATGGTGGGAGAACCCCAGAACTTGTGCATATTGTTGTCTGCTGCATATCCTAGCTGGATAGTATGCTGTTTCTTTTCAAGCAACTTATACAAACCCATGTATGTATCCCATTACCGTGGTGATCCATAGGATTCTGTTCTGGCTGCCAGGATTTGTGGAACACGTGTGCTTTTCAGTATAGAATAAAGGCATATCCAATCTGTTATTAGGCCATTGTGTTCAGCAAAAAATTGATAACCTCACTCTAGGGGGGACAGCTGTTAACAAGGTTAGAATAAATAGTTTATAATATGATTGAGTAAGTGCTAGTGAAAGGGACAGCAAAGCCTCTAGTGACTGCATACCTAAAATGAACTATTATGTTCTATCATTAAAATGGATGACCAAAATGGATGCTTCTTTTAAAAAAGGCCTTATGAATTCCTTTTTTATTATTGTAGATTTTCAGATTATTTCCTATTTCATTTTTTCCATTTAAAAAAATTAAACCTATCTTATTTTTAATCATAAATAATACACTGAAAATTAAGAAGCCTTATTACAAATGTATGAAATCATTCAGAATAGGATTGTAACTGATTTGACAAAATATATCCTACAATTTCTACAAAACATCTTGCAGACATACAATATATGTTCAAAGTAACATATTTTACATAATTTTTTAAGGTAGCATTTGGTAATATGACCAAGTTGACATTGTTGAACAGTTACACAAGAAATCCAAAGAAAAGCTTCTTAGGGTCAAATTAACTAAACTCAGATTTGAATAATTACAAAATAAAAAATGTACTTAATATAATTGATCCTTGCAGCAGTCATTGTTGCCATTTTAAAATTAAACTAAGTATTCTCCTATATTCTAAAAGAAAGCTTTCATTATTTTCAAATTTGATTAAACAATTTCACTATTAAATCAATAGTTTATTGCCGAGTAGCATTACAAATTGACAAACTTCAATGTCATTATTTTTGTCATATCTTGCAGATATTTCCATTGTGATACATTAACAATTCTTTCTTGTCTGTAAGCAAGGAAGTGAAAGATAGGGCAATCTCTTGTACTATAGGCAGTTGCCTCTTCACAACATGTATATACACATTCTTTTTTGTGTCTTTGAGAAGGAGGACACCGATATCACATAAAGGAGCATGAAAAGGTTCTTTAAAATGAACCTGTGCTTTTATTGACTCAGAGCCCTGAGATATAAGCTTCTCCCTTAATGTGATGCCAGTGTCATAGAGAAGCACAACAGCTCCTAGAATGAAAATAACACAGCAAGGAACTGAGTTCTCAGAAACTGTCCTTAAATCCCCAATGCTAGCCCTTCTTCTGTAACCCCTGCATTTCCTTTTGGCCTTAGCTCCTCCTCCCCTTGCCTTCTTGTTTGTAGACTGCTGCACAGACACTCTATGACACTGGTCTCCTCTGTTCAAGGACAACATGTAGCTCAGCCCAGCTGCCACTAACGGTGCTACGATTCAAATGCCAGGGAGATAACGGATTCTGTGCTACTGTTTTGATTCCTTGGTTCTGTCTGTGTTCTCATTACTGTGGATTTCATAGGGCCCTACTTTAAACTCTCCAAGTTTAATCACAAAATGTAGGTGGAAATAGACAATTCTGTGACAGAGACAATGGGAGAAATAAATAAGAGCATTTATTTTTGTGAGAAAGGAGAAGTCTAAAGTAATGCACACTTAATGGAATTTGAAGACTAGGAGGTAATGACAGAGAATCACTGGCAGCAGTTATTCAAAGCCTTCCCTAATCAGAAAGACTAGAGAACATTGTCCTCATATACCCTGCCTATTGCCAGTTTTGAATTTCTGCATGTATTGGAACTACTGTGCAGTTTAGGGTTGTAGGAAAACGGAATGAATTTCTCAAATGCACAACTGCTGAAAGATGAAAAGAAGCAGAAAGTGGATAAACATGAAATAACAAAAAAATTATCTTTTTGATAAAAACAGTTGCTCACTTTTGAGTACTTGAGAGGTAGAAATAGTCCCTTGCTTTTTCTTCTCTCCAACTTGCAGAATGAGGGTCATTTGATGTCTAGAGAAAACATAATATGAGAAATAGCATCTACCAGGACGCACAAATTAGTTTTGGGAACTCCATGAACACTTATAAAACTTCAAACTTAAAAAAAAAAAAAAAAAAAAAAAAAAGATGAACTGGTCAGGATTCATGGTCTCGTCCTGAGGATGGTTAATTTCCTTTAATATCAGAATGTGAAACACACAGTTCCACATTCTTCACAGATTATCCCATGTTCATTAAATTGTTTATGTGAGGATGACAGAGGCTCTACTTTCTGTTTTATTGATTTTTTGGTTCAGTGTTCTTAGTCAGCTCTCGTCTTTAAACATCTGAAATGTATTGGATGACTCTACTTTTAATGTTCTGTGGGAATAACACTGCAAGCTTTTTTAAGCCACTGTGAAAGGCCTACTGTAATATATGCTGGCTGCTATCTGAAAATTATGTTCTTGGCCCCAGTCCATCAAATACTTAAGCATGTGTGTAACTATAAGCATGTGAGTAATCTCATTCATTTCAAATAAGATTAAGACTTTGATGTGGAATGATGAAGGACCATTAGACTTTTCAGGATATGTCTACGCTACAGAGTTTTGTTGGAAAAACAGACGTTTTTCTGACAAAACCTGAGTCACGTCCACACTGCGATTGCGTTCTTTTGAAAAAAAAAACAACGTAAGAACAGAGGGGTTTTTCTGGCGATGGTAATCCTCTTTCTACGAGGAAGAAGTCTTTTTATGAAAGAGCTCTTTCGGAAAAAGGCGTGAGTGGACGGGGAAGAGGGAGTTCTTTTGAAAGAAGAGGAAAGAGAAAAAAGCACAGGTGCCCTGGTGGCCACTCCATCCATAGTAATCACAGCTTAAATGCGAGATAGCATCTCTTCAGTGTGGATGCTATCTTTCGAAAAAGCATGTGCTTTTTTGAT